ATCTTCAAACTCTAACCAACAGTCTCGTGACAAAACCTGATCCTCGTTATAAGAAATTAATTTGATGGGGAACAACAGTTTTGTAACAGCTACGTTCGAATCATCGTTTTAAGAGAGAGCTTCGAGACAGCTAGCTTGTCAGTGGACGTTGTTTCAAGGAATTTATCATGGTTCATCATTGACTCTTTGAAACGTGAGAAAAAGCTTGAAAACTAAGATGGGGAGCAACAGTTTTGCAACAGCTACGTTCGAATCATCGTTTTAAGAGAGAGCTTCGAGACAGCTAGCTAGTAGTGAAATTTAGAACTGTGATGGAGCCTCATCCAATGGATTATACAACGACTATGGTTGAATCTTCAAACTCTAACCAACAGTCTCGTGACAAAACCTGATCCTCGTTATAAGAAATTAATTTGATGGGGAGCAACAGTTTTGTAACAGCTACGTTCGAATCATCGTTTTAAGAGAGAGCTTCAAGACAGCTAGCTTGTCAGTGGACGTTGTTTCAAGGAATTTATCATGGTTCATCATTGACTCTTTGAAACGTGAGAAAAAGCTTGAAAACTAAGATGGGGAGCAACAGTTTTGCAACAGCTACGTTCGAATCATCGTTTTAAGAGAGAGCTTCGAGACAGCTAGCTAGTAGTGAAATTTAGAACTGTGATGGAGCCTCATCCAATGGATTATACAACGACTATGGTTGAATCTTCAAACTCTAACCAACAGTCTCGTGACAAAACCTGATCCTCGTTATAAGAAATTAATTTGATGGGGAACAACAGTTTTGCAACAGCTACGTTCGAATCATCGTTTTAAGAGAGAGCTTCGAGACAGCTAGCTTGTCAGTGGACGTTGTTTCAAGGAATTTATCATGGTTCATCATTGACTCTTTGAAACGTGAGGAAAAGCTTGAAAACTAAGATGGGGAGCAACAGTTTTGCAACAGCTACGTTCGAATCATCGTTTTAAGAGAGAGCTTCGAGACAGCTAGCTAGTAGTGAAATTTAGAACTGTGATGGAGCCTCATCCAATGGATTATACAACGACTATGGTTGAATCTTCAAACTCTAACCAACAGTCTCGTGACAAAACCTGATCCTCGTTATAAGAAATTAATTTGATGGGGAGCAACAGTTTTGTAACAGCTACGTTCGAATCATCGTTTTAAGAGAGAGCTTCGAGACAGCTAGCTTGTCAGTGGACGTTGTTTCAAGGAATTTATCATGGTTCATCATTGACTCTTTGAAACGTGAGAAAAAGCTTGAAAACTAAGATGGGGAGCAACAGTTTTGCAACAGCTACCTTCGAATCATCGTTTTAAGAGAGAGCTTCGAGACAGCTAGCTAGTAGTGAAATTTAGAACTGTGATGGAGCCTCATCCAATGGATTATACAACGACTATGGTTGAATCTTCAAACTCTAACCAACAGTCTCGTGACAAAACCTGATCCTCGTTATAAGAAATTAATTTGATGGGGAACAACAGTTTTGTAACAGCTACGTTCGAATCATCGTTTTAAGAGAGAGCTTCGAGACAGCTAGCTTGTCAGTGGACGTTGTTTCAAGGAATTTATCATGGTTCATCGTTGACTCTTTGAAACGTGAGGAAAAGCTTGAAAACTAAGATGGGGAGCAACAGTTTTGCAACAGCTACGTTCGAATCATCGTTTTAAGAGAGAGCTTCGAGACAGCTAGCTTGTAGTGAAATTTAGAACTGTGATAGAGCCTCATCCAATGGATTATACAACGACTATGGTTGAATCTTCAAACTTTAACCAACAGTCTCGTGACAAAGCCTGATCCTCGTTATAAGAAATTAATTTGATGGGGAACAACAGTTTTGCAACAGCTACGTTCGAATCATCGTTTTAAGAGAGAGCTTCGAGACAGCTAGCTTGTCAGTGGACGTTGTTTCAAGGAATTTATCATGGTTCATCATTGACTCTTTGAAACGTGAGAAAAAGCTTGAAAACTAAGATGGGGAGCAACAGTTTTGCAACAGCTACGTTCGAATCATCGTTTTAAGAGAGAGCTTCGAGACAGCTAGCTAGTAGTGAAATTTAGAACTGTGATGGAGCCTCATCCAATGGACTATACAACGACTATGGTTGAATCTTCAAACTCTAACCAACAGTCTCGTGACAAAACCTGATCCTCGTTATAAGAAATTAATTTGATGGGGAACAACAGTTTTGTAACAGCTACGTTCGAATCATCGTTTTAAGAGAGAGCTTCGAGACAGCTAGCTTGTCAGTGGACGTTGTTTCAAGGAATTTATCATGGTTCATCATTGACTCTTTGAAACGTGAGAAAAAGCTTGAAAACTAAGATGGGGAGCAACAGTTTTGCAACAGCTACGTTCGAATCATCGTTTTAAGAGAGAGCTTCGAGACAGCTAGCTAGTAGTGAAATTTAGAACTGTGATGGAGCCTCATCCAATGGATTATACAACGACTATGGTTGAATCTTCAAACTCTAACCAACAGTCTCGTGACAAAACCTGATCCTCGTTATAAGAAATTAATTTGATGGGGAGCAACAGTTTTGTAACAGCTACGTTCGAATCATCGTTTTAAGAGAGAGCTTCAAGACAGCTAGCTTGTCAGTGGACGTTGTTTCAAGGAATTTATCATGGTTCATCATTGACTCTTTGAAACGTGAGAAAAAGCTTGAAAACTAAGATGGGGAGCAACAGTTTTGCAACAGCTACGTTCGAATCATCGTTTTAAGAGAGAGCTTCGAGACAGCTAGCTAGTAGTGAAATTTAGAACTGTGATGGAGCCTCATCCAATGGATTATACAACGACTATGGTTGAATCTTCAAACTCTAACCAACAGTCTCGTGACAAAACCTGATCCTCGTTATAAGAAATTAATTTGATGGGGAACAACAGTTTTGCAACAGCTACGTTCGAATCATCGTTTTAAGAGAGAGCTTCGAGACAGCTAGCTTGTCAGTGGACGTTGTTTCAAGGAATTTATCATGGTTCATCGTTGACTCTTTGAAACGTGAGGAAAAGCTTGAAAACTAAGATGGGGAGCAACAGTTTTGCAACAGCTACGTTCGAATCATCGTTTTAAGAGAGAGCTTCGAGACAGCTAGCTTGTAGTGAAATTTAGAACTGTGATAGAGCCTCATCCAATGGATTATACAACGACTATGGTTGAATCTTCAAACTTTAACCAACAGTCTCGTGACAAAGCCTGATCCTCGTTATAAGAAATTAATTTGATGGGGAACAACAGTTTTGCAACAGCTACGTTCGAATCATCGTTTTAAGAGAGAGCTTCGAGACAGCTAGCTTGTCAGTGGACGTTGTTTCAAGGAATTTATCATGGTTCATCATTGACTCTTTGAAACGTGAGAAAAAGCTTGAAAACTAAGATGGGGAGCAACAGTTTTGCAACAGCTACGTTCGAATCATCGTTTTAAGAGAGAGCTTCGAGACAGCTAGCTAGTAGTGAAATTTAGAACTGTGATGGAGCCTCATCCAATGGACTATACAACGACTATGGTTGAATCTTCAAACTCTAACCAACAGTCTCGTGACAAAACCTGATCCTCGTTATAAGAAATTAATTTGATGGGGAACAACAGTTTTGTAACAGCTACGTTCGAATCATCGTTTTAAGAGAGAGCTTCGAGACAGCTAGCTTGTCAGTGGACGTTGTTTCAAGGAATTTATCATGGTTCATCATTGACTCTTTGAAACGTGAGAAAAAGCTTGAAAACTAAGATGGGGAGCAACAGTTTTGCAACAGCTACGTTCGAATCATCGTTTTAAGAGAGAGCTTCGAGACAGCTAGCTAGTAGTGAAATTTAGAACTGTGATGGAGCCTCATCCAATGGATTATACAACGACTATGGTTGAATCTTCAAACTCTAACCAACAGTCTCGTGACAAAACCTGATCCTCGTTATAAGAAATTAATTTGATGGGGAGCAACAGTTTTGTAACAGCTACGTTCGAATCATCGTTTTAAGAGAGAGCTTCAAGACAGCTAGCTTGTCAGTGGACGTTGTTTCAAGGAATTTATCATGGTTCATCATTGACTCTTTGAAACGTGAGAAAAAGCTTGAAAACTAAGATGGGGAGCAACAGTTTTGCAACAGCTACGTTCGAATCATCGTTTTAAGAGAGAGCTTCGAGACAGCTAGCTAGTAGTGAAATTTAGAACTGTGATGGAGCCTCATCCAATGGATTATACAACGACTATGGTTGAATCTTCAAACTCTAACCAACAGTCTCGTGACAAAACCTGATCCTCGTTATAAGAAATTAATTTGATGGGGAACAACAGTTTTGCAACAGCTACGTTCGAATCATCGTTTTAAGAGAGAGCTTCGAGACAGCTAGCTTGTCAGTGGACGTTGTTTCAAGGAATTTATCATGGTTCATCATTGACTCTTTGAAACGTGAGGAAAAGCTTGAAAACTAAGATGGGGAGCAACAGTTTTGCAACAGCTACGTTCGAATCATCGTTTTAAGAGAGAGCTTCGAGACAGCTAGCTAGTAGTGAAATTTAGAACTGTGATGGAGCCTCATCCAATGGATTATACAACGACTATGGTTGAATCTTCAAACTCTAACCAACAGTCTCGTGACAAAACCTGATCCTCGTTATAAGAAATTAATTTGATGGGGAGCAACAGTTTTGTAACAGCTACGTTCGAATCATCGTTTTAAGAGAGAGCTTCGAGACAGCTAGCTTGTCAGTGGACGTTGTTTCAAGGAATTTATCATGGTTCATCATTGACTCTTTGAAACGTGAGAAAAAGCTTGAAAACTAAGATGGGGAGCAACAGTTTTGCAACAGCTACGTTCGAATCATCGTTTTAAGAGAGAGCTTCGAGACAGCTAGCTAGTAGTGAAATTTAGAACTGTGATGGAGCCTCATCCAATGGATTATACAACGACTATGGTTGAATCTTCAAACTATAACCAACAGTCTCGTGACAAAACCTGATCCTCGTTATAAGAAATTAATTTGATGGGGAACAACAGTTTTGTAACAGCTACGTTCGAATCATCGTTTTAAGAGAGAACTTCGAGACAGCTAGCTTGTCAGTGGACGTTGTTTCAAGGAATTTATTATGGTTCATCATTGACTCTTTGAAACGTGAGGAAAAGCTTGAAAACTAAGATGGGGAGCAACAGTTTTGCAACAGCTACGTTCGAATCATCGTTTTAAGAGAGATCTTCAAGACAGCCAGCTTGTAGCTCATCCAATTGACTAACAACTATGGTTAAATCTTCAAACTTTAGCCAACTCGTGACAAAACCTGATTCTTTATAAGAAATTTGATATTTATCATGAGCCTTCAAGTCTTCAAGCTTCAACCTAACAGTTATCGCGAAAGAAATCGTCATCCATGTTTCAGGAAATTAATTTTGAACCTAAGACATTGTTAAGACATATCATGGACTCTATGGAATGTCTTCTAGGTTACTATAAAACCCAGAATCAAAATAGGAACTGATCCAGAGTTGCTCTGCAACTACCATAGCATTATTTTAAGAGATAAATTTGATTTGTTCTTGATCTTTTCAAAGGATATCCACAAATCAACTGTTTTGCAACAAACAACGAGATCAAGACTAAAACAATCTGTTCAAATGACCAATTCCCATCCAAATCAATTACCAAATTCGTACGAATTAATTAACATTCATCAAATAAACGCAGATCTCCTCGCTGAATCATCCCTTTGAAGTTACACTACCCAAACGGTAAAGTAAAATTGCAGATAGGTCGTAAGTCAGGTCACCGTGTCCCGATTAAACCTAAAAGTTCCTCTCTTTCAAAGCACACGCCTCTCGACGCTGAAACCGAACATCCAAAATAAAGAAAAATCGAAACACGTACGATTCAACCCTTTGCACTCCTTCATCAATTTTCACCTCAGAAGCTCCTTCGCCAAGTCCCACTCTTACACTTGAAAATGAGAAAATACAACAACAGTGTAAATAAAACACCTATTTCAACAGATAAATTTCAAATAAAACACTTAAAAGCATTGGGAGCCGCTGGTAACAAACTCTGAACATAATTCGTAGTGCAAAGGGTTAAAGCAGCTTTCGAACAATACGCCAAACAACGTTAAACTAAAATGTCTACCAAAACAGTGTTCAAAACCAAAAGGTACATATTCGTACGCGCGCGCGTCATCGATGGTGTCCTGCTCGATGACGAATCAAAGACAGAGAAGATAAGTTGGCTTCTGGACGCGAGAGGTGGCTCCGTGTAATTAATCTAAGGAGATCGTTCAGAAGAGGAGCGCTAAAGGACGAAGAAAGCCTTCGCGTGGAACTCCGAGGACGACGTTCCGCGAAAGTAATTTAGGTAAGGCGTAACCCGGTGCCAGGGATCATCCTCTCCCGTCTCCCGGGTGACTATTCGTTCCGAAGATTACCGAGAAACGCGGTTATCCCGGTAATCATTCCCGGGGTTACTTTCTAACTAACTTCGAAACGTGAAAGTTAATCAGCGGCGAGCGCTGACCGGCGATCGCGATCGATCTCGACGACGAGCGACGGATACGGGAGGCCTCTCGCGATCGATACGGCGGCGAGCGTACTTTCTAATATTCGCTCTTCATGCATGGATGCCCGGTAGCATTAAAACGATTAAAAGTCGCCTGACCGATTTGCGTTCGACACGGGAACCCTCTGCTACCTAAAGCCCACGACCGATGAAAAGAAAGCTGCTAAAAAACGTAAAAGAAAACGAACCTTGGACTAAAATTGAAAACTGTGAAACAAAAAAAAATAGGAAATGAAGAGCATTCTTTCAAGGGTCCCGGCGCGAACAGTCACCACACGCCCACCCCCCTGGCACCGCGTTTAAAACGAAAACAGGAACGATTCGGAGTCACTCGTGAACAGGCTTCTAAACGGTTCTGAGAAGAGTTGGACCAGGGGAACGTGGGTAACGGAAGGTAGAGAGCGACGTAGCTCGACGAATGATCCATCCTTTCGGAATAGTGAACGACGATCGGAGGATAAGCACCGCGTCGAGTAATGGAAACGTGGACGAGGAGGACAAGAAGAATGAAGAAACCGAGGAGAAATAACAGTTGCTCCTAATCTCCAAGACCAGCCGGAGTTACTGTTTCTCCTTGAGTCCGCCGAGGAGAGCGTGGCTCTCCATCGTCGCGCTTAGGTTGCTCAGATTGCTGAGGTTCCCCAGGTTCCCCAGGTTCCCTAGGTTACCGAGGTTCGGTTGGTGCGCGTAATTCCTGATCTGATGCAGGCTGATCAGCTGGTTGGGGAACGAGGTCGCGTTCTGGTTGCTGGTGGTGCCGGGCGTCACGCCGGACGAGGACGAGGCCGGCGAGGACTTCTGCGTCGAGTTGAACGCTTCGTAGAGGTACGGCCTGGAAGCTGGATGATGGCTGCCCGGGTAGTGCAAGTGATTCAACGGGTTCAACGAGTGCTGCATAGAAGAGATCGAGTTTATAGAGATCGAGGATATCGGCGTGAACGCCGAACTGCTGTTCGGATGATGGTTAGCGCCCGGCTGCGGCGTCTGTTGCCTGGAATCGTTCTCCAGGGAGTCGCCGCGGTGACCGTGGCCAGGTAACAGCATCTCCGGGTTCTGGTTCTGATGGTAGTCGGTGTGATGGTGCGGCAGTCGTTCGTGGAGGTCGCTGATCACGGAGTCCGGGCTGACCTTGGGCCAGTAGTGATCCTGATGGTGGGCCGCCATCGCGTGTATGGACGGCCTGAGCCCGGTACCGATGATCGGCGGTCTCTTGTCCGTCCTCTCCGCGTGTTTCTGCATGTGCTTCGCCAGGTAGGTCTCCTGCGTGTAACTCTTGCCGCAGTACTGGCAGATGTGCGTCTTAAGGTGCTTCGATTCCTTGTGCTTCGGTATGTGCTCGAGCAGGCTGGGCTCGTCGGAGAAGCACTTGTAGCAGGAGTTACACTTGTACGGCTTGTCGGTCTGGTGGCACCGGGAGTGGCTCTGTAGGTTGCTTAGCTGGCTGAACGCCTTCGTGCAGCCTGGATGCCGGCACTTGTACGGTTTGTCGCCGGTGTGCGTGCGGATGTGCTGCTGTAGGTGGCTCAGTTGGGTGAACTTCCGCTGGCAAATCTCGCAGCGGTACGGCTTGATGCCCAGGTGGATCCTGGTGTGCTGCGACAGGTACGAGGAGTTCGCGAACGCCTTCGAGCACTGGGTGCACTTGTACGGCTTCGCCTCTCGCATGTGGATCTGCGTGTGGAGCTGCAGATCCGCCTTGCTACCGAAGATCTGCGAACAGAAACCATCCACCGTCAAATATGCAACTAAAATAACGCCTATTTCTACAGACAGGAGTACACAGGAGGAATTGGGAACGTAAAGTAGACAACTCGTGCAATATTCTTTTTCTATATTTCATCGATACAGAGATAGTGAGGACGCAGGATCGTCTATTTTGATGGATAGTGAGGCGAGAAAACGGCGGTGACTTTTCCAAGGATTTGCGCGGCGATTAACCGAATAATGAAAGAGCCGATCGACAGGTGAAGGGGTTCCATCGTCTTGGGACAGTCGGTTCTCCTTCTATCGACTGCTCCGCTTCCTCCTTCCCTCGCCGGTGTGTTGGCGCATTAGCCGATCGCCGCGGTGTATTTATAAATAAATAAATGTATGGGCTGACGGTAGCCGGAGCCGTACGCGCAAAGGCGGGGAGAGGATGACCTTGTCTATCATGGCCTAGCCTCCGGGCATACCTGACTGACTGGCTTCAGCTACCGCATACAGATCCTCTCTCTCTCTCGCCTTCTCTACTCTTAATTCCCCTTCCATGGTCTTTTTATTTCGTCTCCTCCGTCTTGCCTCCTCGCCCCTTTTTGTTAGTCTCTCCCGGCTCTCTTTGTACGGTAGCCTTAAATGCCTAGTCTCTGCCACGGGGGGGAGCAGAGAGGAGGATCCTAGCAACTCGTCAATTTCTTACGGTATCGACGAGCTCGAAATCGAGACAAAGTCGCGTGACTTCCGGCGGTTCCACGGATTCCAACCAAGTTCGGAGATCCGAGCGTTTGGTCCGCGATGGACCGGTTTGCAGACCGAATCCCCCGTTAGACCCGGGTTGAAAAATTCCCCAATTCGGTTTTAATTGCACCGACCACGTCCTAGAGGAGTTCTCCAGGCGGACAGGTTCCTTAATTTGACCGGGGCTCACGTCCTCGCGACTCTTCCGTGTGATGAAAGACAGAGCGAGATGGGAGCCCAAGGAGCCAACGAGCAACAAGTAATTCGCTCGGGTCACGAGATTCCGGTCCTGGAAATTACCACGATGCGTGTCCTGGGTTCTTGGGTATCGCACCAGGACGATAGGAATCGTGGAAACTATCCGGGACACGCGAGGAACGACGCAAACGCGCTCGATTTCCTGCCCGATCGCGGATCGCTCGAGATCGTTACGTAAAACGACGGATTCCTTTCTCGGATCGACGGATCGCTCTCTGCCACGCCCAAGGATCATACGAACGATCCATGGACGACGAAAAATTACGCTTTTCCGTGAATGTTCGCTGTTCAAAATGGAATTTTTCCAAGCAACTGTCGTTCGTGGATTTAAATGATTCGAAAAATGATGAGAATTTGTTGAGTCTTACTTTGACTGTCACGTGACCCATATATGGGTCACGAGATTTACCAATACGATGCTAGAAAAAATTAATTCTCAACTTAAATATTGATAGAATTTATGAATTTTAACAACGTTACAAAAATAATGAGAATTTGTTGAGTCTTACTTTGACTGTCACGTGACCCATATATGGGTCACGAGATTTACCAATACGATGCTAGAAAAAATTAATTCTCAATTTAAATTTGGATTGAATTTATGAATTTTAACAAGGTTACAAAAATAATGAGAATTTGTTGAGTCTTACTTTGACTGTCACGTGACCCATATATGGGTCACGAGATTTACCAATACGATGCTAGAAAAAATTAATTCTCAATTTAAATTTGGATTGAATTTATGAATTTTAACAAGGTTACAAAAATAATGAGAATTTGTTGAGTCTTACTTTGACTGTCACGTGACCCATATATGGGTCACGAGATTTACCAATACGATGCTAGAAAAAATTAATTCTCAATTTAAATTTGGATAGAATTTATGAATTTTAACAAGGTTACAAAAATAATGAGAATTTGTTGAGTCTTACTTTGACTGTCTCGTGACCCATATATGGGTCACGAGATTTACCAATACGATTCTAGAAAAAATTAAATTTCAATTCAAATTTTGATAGAATTTATGAATTTCAACGAGATTACAAAAATTCATTTTATCGTGAGCTTCGTTTCGCCGACAAATTCTTACGAAAAATTTATATTTTGTTGCATTCTTTGTTATAAACAATATAGATCGATATTCATCTCTACCTTTAAGGCAAACGGTGAATTAGAGAATTTTGGATTTTTGTTCGATCGTGGATTTAAATGATTCGAAAAATGATGAGAATTTGTTGAGTCTTACTTTGACTGTCTCGTGACCCATATATGGATCACAAGATTTACCAATACGATTCTAGAAAAAATTAAATTTCAATTCAAATTTTGATAGAATTTATGAATTTCAACGAGATTACAAAAATTCATTTTATCGTGAGCTTCGTTTAGCCGACAAATTCTTACGAAAAATTTATATTTTGTTGCATTCTTTGTTATAAACAATATAGATCGATATTCATCTCCACCTTTAAGGCAAACGGTGAATTAGAGATTTTTGGAGTTTTGTTCGATCGTGGATTTAAATGATTCGAAAAATGATGAGAATTTGTTGAGTCTTACTTTGACTGTCTCGTGACCCATATATGGATCACGAGATTTACCAATACGATTCTAGAAAAAATTAAATTTCAATTCAAATTTTGATAGAATTTATGAATTTTAACGAGATTACAAAAATTCATTTTATCGTGAGCTTCGTTTCGCCGACAAATTGTTACGAAATATTTATAGTTTGTTGCATTCTTTGTTATAAATAATACAGATCGATATTCATCTCTACCTTTAAGGCAAACGGTGAATTAGAGAATTTTGGATTTTTGTTCGATCGTGGATTTAAATGATTCGAAAAATGATGAGAATTTGTTGAGTCTTACTTTGACTGCCTCGTGACCCATATATGGATCACAAGATTTACCAATACGATTCTAGAAAAAATTAAATTTCAATTCAAATTTTGATAGAATTTATGAATTTTAACGAGATTACAAAAATTCATTTTATCGTGAGCTTCGTTTCGCCGACAAATTCTTACGAAAAATTTATATTTTGTTGCATTCTTTGTTATAAATAATACAGATCGATATTCATCTTTACCTCTAAGGCAAACGGTGAATTAGAGATTTTTGGAGTTTTGTTCGATCGTGGATTTAAATGATTCGAAAAATGATGAGAATTTGTTGAGTCTTACTTTGACTGTCTCGTGACCCATATATGGATCACAAGATTTACCAATACGATTCTAGAAAAAATTAAATTTCAATTCAAATTTTGATAGAATTTATGAATTTTAACGAGATTACAAAAATTCATTTTATCGTGAGCTTCGTTTCGCCGACAAATTGTTACGAAAAATTTATATTTTGTTGCATTCTTTGTTATAAACAATATAGATCGATATTCATCTCCACCTTTAAGGCAAACGATGAATTAGAGATTTTTGGAGTTTTGTTCGATCGTGGATTTAAATGATTCGAAAAATGATGAGAATTTGTTGAGTCTTACTTTGACTGTCTCGTGACCCATATATGGATCACAAGATTTACCAATACGATTCTAGAAAAAATTAAATTTCAATTCAAATTTTGATAGAATTTATGAATTTTAACGAGATTACAAAAATTCATTTTATCGTGAGCTTCGTTTCGCCGACAAATTGTTACGAAATATTTATAGTTTGTTGCATTCTTTGTTATAAATAATACAGATCGATATTCATCTCTACCTTTAAGGCAAACGGTGAATTAGAGAATTTTGGATTTTTGTTCGATCGTGGATTTAAATGATTCGAAAAATGATGAGAATTTGTTGAGTCTTACTTTGACTGCCTCGTGACCCATATATGGGTCACGAGATTTACCAATACGATGCTAGAAAAAATTAATTCTCAATTCAAATTTTGATAGAATTTATGAATTTTAACGAGATTACAAAAATTCATTTTATCGTGAGCTTCGTTTCGCCGACAAATTCTTACGAAAAATTTATATTTTGTTGCATTCTTTGTTATAAATAATATAGATCGATATTCATCTCCACCTTTAAGGCAAACGGTGAATTAGAGATTTTTGGATTTTTGTTCGATCGTGGATTTAAATGATTCGAAAAATGATGAGAATTTGTTGAGTCTTACTTTGACTGTCTAGTGGCCCATATATGGGTCACAAGATTTACCAATACGATTCTAGAAAAAATTAAATTTCAATTCAAATTTTGATAGAATTTATGAATTTCAACGAGATTACAAAAATTCATTTTATCGTGAGCTTCGTTTCGCCGACAAATTGTTACGAAATATTTATAGTTTGTTGCATTCTTTGTTATAGACAATATAGATCGATATTCATCTCTACCTTTAAGGCAAACGATGAATTAGAGATTTTTGGATTTTTGTTCGATCGTGGATTTAAATGATTCGAAAAATGATGAGAATTTGTTGAGTCTTACTTTGACTGTCTAGTGACCCATATATGGGTCACGAGATTTACCAATACGATGCTAGAAAAAATTAGTTCTCAATTCAAATTTTGATAGAATTTATGAATTTTAACAACGTTACAAAAATAAGTACTGATACATACAAGTATTATACATTTAATGGTGTTGGGGCAATGTTTAAAAAATACAGAAAATTCAAAGTAATGCTGGGTGGATCGAAAGATCGAAATAAGAGGTTAGTCGGCACAGACGTATCATTAATTATAATAGATGTTTTGACCTTCGTTTCAGGTCTCTTTTTTTCATTAATTTCCACGTGGCAAAATTCTTTTTGCTTTTTTCTGCTATTTTTTATTCCCATTTGTCGTACGACCTTTACAGTGGGATGCATTCCTAAGATTACGATTCTTATTAGATAAACGATATGAAGGTAGGCTAACGATGTACGAGCATCTGAAACTGGAGCTCCATAATTACATACAATACACGTAATAACTTCTAATTATTCTAATTCTGATCAGAGAAAACGACGAACCATTCTGGTGCAATTTTATAGTCTCTTATGATCATTCTGATTATGTAAAAAAAAT